CGTGGCACCGCGAACACTGTTTGCTCGCCTCAAAAAAAACCATGCGCACCACTAACCGAAATCATGTCGCACGCACCCAAAGCGGACCTCCACAAACTCTGCGATGATGTCACATTCGCCGTTCACACTCAAGCAAACAAGCGGACGCGTCGAGTATAAACCAGGCTTGGCCTTTTCCATATTTTTAACTTTAATGATGACAATGACTAGGTATACCCAGATTTTCTTTGTAGAGCACCTTTAAGAATAGTTTTTGAATCACATCACTAAAGATTCCCAGAGCTAGTGTTTCGAAAAGGAGAGTCTGGATATTGCGACGCTGCTGAAATGAGCAGTGAGCCTTGTTTTACATTTCTGTACTGAGAGGTTGGATTTGCTCAGTCTCACATATTAACATGATGCGATTTCGCAGGTCAGAGTTCACCAAACATAGACTTTTGTCTGCAACGAAATAGAAAAAAATATCTTTGCACGGCCTGGATCTCAGGTCAGGCAAATTTGCATGTGAATGAATAAAAGTCAATGGAATGGAAAGTCTAGTGTGGCCGTGGCTTTACACAGAGTTCCATGATATATGCTATTAATGCGAAACACTGCAGTTCACACTAATAGGGAACAAAAGCTGTTGGTCAACGTGATGATGGTCATCATTTAATATACTCTATATTACGATTTAAATAATCGTTTTGATTGAAATAGTATATGTCATGTAGTTATTTTTTTAGTTGATTTAGCCATTTCCCAAATAGAGACCTTAAATCAAGGGTGCCCAAACTCTGTCCTGGAGGGCAAGTGTGCTGCAAAGTTTAGTTTTAAGCCCAATCAGACACACCAGGGCTAGCAAATCAAGCTCTTATGCCGCAGGCACAATAAAATTTGAGCTTGCGAAATTCTGTCGTACGGCGCTACGAAAAGGGCGGGATTAAACAAGATGATTATACATTTAAAAAAGCGAGTGATCGGTCGATGTTTTAAATTTCTGTCCAGAGAGGTCATGTTTTGATCCTCGATTGGTCTCACTCAATCATATGATGCAATTTCGCAGGGTTCACCAAGCTTGAACTTCGTGATGCAGCGAAACTTGTCGTACGACCTTACGTTTCCGATCTGACGCATTCACGTGTGTATGAATAAATGTTTATGGGGAGAGAAGAGCAGTGTGACCGCAGCTTTACTAGGCTTTCTAGAAACATCATTGCATCGTGTGTTGAGGCAAGCTGGAGCTAAAATCTGCAGGACAACGGCCCTCCAGGAACTTGGACACGCCTGCCTTTAATCATCCATTATCATGGACTTTTTATTTGGGGAAACAATGACTATTTAAGATTCCTTTTTTTATACATAGCATCTGGTGTTTTTACCACACTGCCTGATTTAAAGCTTGTTTTTTTTTTGTTTAATGCCCAAAACAAAAAAATCAGCTTGTATAAATATAATCATATTAAAGACATGTTTTCTGCAAACATCTCACGATATCTTGCGCTGTGTTGCATTTGATATACATTTTATTTTGTAATTAGAATTTCTAAATTTTACCTGGAAAGCCATTTAAGCAGTCTTCACTTGAGTCAAAATGTAGTGTTGCATTATGTGACGTGGGATGGTGAGTAATAACAGAGATGTTTGTGCAATAGATCCATGTTCGAGGAGTGGCAAGATTTCAATAACTATAGGTGTATGTCATACCTACTGATTAAAATCTTGTCAATTATTCTCTAGCTGGTTCGTGGGCTGTTAGCTTAAGGCGTGTATTTTATACTTTTGATCAGTTTAACGTTAAGTAGCATGTTTGAGATTTTAATAGGTGTTCTGTTGAAATATGCCACTTAAAGATAAAATAACTGATTGTTTCTAGAAAAGGTGAACGTTTATTGATTGTGTTCTACGTATAATTGGAATCCCAGAAGATTTTCATGCTACAGGCAGAGTGTAAGATCCATTAAATCCCTGGATTAATTCATTTTTTCATCGATTTTGTGATATCATCTGACTGTACTTATATATCTCTAATAACATATTAGGCATTATATTTACTGCACTTTCATGCTGCAGCATTAAAAACCAGTTAATTTTATTGTGTGAGATTGAGTTAATGCCAAAGTGTGACTGGTTTACCATAGTTAAATTACCCAAACAAGAAGGGGCAACCATGGCTTAATGGTTAGAGAGTTGTAACTCAAAGATCATAAGTTCGAGTCCCCGCACCGACGGACTGGTGTGGGGAATGAATAATTAGCACTCTCGTTGACTCAATACCATGACTGAGGAGATTCTCTTGAGCAAGGAGCCAGATCCCCAACTGTTCCCCAGGCAGTCCACTGCTCCGGGCAGTGTGTTCATTGGTGTGAGTCTATATGAATAAAAGCATGTTAAATGCTAAAGCGTACAAGAACTTTGACCATGGTGCTTGCAAGCTAGTCAACAGTGTGCGCTGCTGCCTTTGCACTTTCATCAACACAATGAAATGAATAGGTTTCATTGCGGTTTGATTCCTATGTTTCCATGCAAAATCTGCTTCAGACTGCACAGTTACCATGTTTGGAGTAAGAGTGAAATCAGTCTGCTGAACACTGCTTTTCATCCAATAAATCCGGTGGCCGAAAATTCTGCATTTCTAGAATTATAATAAAACTCTCAGGTTGACAAGTCCTTTTGCCAGTTTGAAGTGAAAAACATTTTGGCAGCTGTGAAACTTTAACGTTTTTGTAGTATAACAACATCTCATGTAAAAAGATACCCCTACAAACAAGTTCATTTTTAGTAAACATTGTTCACGGTTACTCTAATTGGCTGAAATCGACAATCAGTTACAATTCATGCTTTGCCTAATTACGATCAGGGATCTGGATATGAAAATTTCAATTTCTGCTTATGGTTTTTGGGATGCATTTTTTTATTTTTTGTTAATGTCTGGGACGACTTGACCTTGCAATCTCCCATGACGTTCTGCTAATCTAACCAGAAGTCAAAAGACTGATAGACATTTTGAGTTAATAATTTCTTATATTCCGCTATGTTGTCTATGACTTTGATTCCTATTGGAATCAAAACTGGGAATCTATGAGTTATTGGTCAAATTCTGATGAGGCAAACTATACATGCTGTGGTACAAACATTTTAAGCATCATAGTAGCTTCTCAAATAAATCTGAAATCCACTTTTGGGTTGTTGTATTTTTCCAGGTAAGACATTGGGAAATTTAGGTGCAAACTCAATAAAAAGGTCCATGCTTCCCTTGGTACATAATTGCAAAATGTAGAATTAATCTCACAGTTCATTTAGTTTTTTTAATGAGGCATAGAAGTTTGCATTACGCTTTTACAAGCAATGTGTAATGCTGGTCATTCTGCACTTAAAAGTCAAGTATTACATTTTTAAAAATATTTCAGTTTGATGGGATTTTCAGGTATCATCATTTATATTTTATCTTTGTATATTGTACAAAAGGATCAAGACTAATTTGGAGATGGCATGTTAAAGCTAGAATTAAAAAAAAGCTGTGAATCAAAGACCATTGTGCCTAACAATGGGACAAAATCTTAAAATATATAATGATCAAGAAATCCATTTAGATCTGTTCAATGTTAGTGAAAATATCAAAATAGTTTGAAAGCCAGTTTTTTGTAGAGGTATTTTTTGAAGAGTGTTTAAAATGAGTTGATATGACACTATTTTGACCAAAAAGAAAGATAATTAGGCACATCCAGACTTCTTTAGGCAAAAATTGCTTGAGTATTTTAGTGCGGGTATTTTAGTGCAATCATTACAGGATTTTCAGACAAACAATTTGTTGTTATATGGCCAACCTAGTTGGACTATTTGTGTTGTATTATATCAGGGTTGGGCCAATAGACGATGCCATCGTCCAAACCCGCTCGCGAAAAAAAACACACACTGAAGCTGGTCGCACACCAAAAGCGCCTCTCGGCGACGCGCCATGTAGCGCCACGCAGTGCCATGCATTTTAGAAATCTAAACATAGGTTTCTATCTGGGTACACGCACCGGCGGCGTAAGTCGGCGGCGCCCAGCCACGACTCAGGATGCAGTTCATATTTCAGCTGCGCCACAGAGCGCCATCTGATTAGATTCATGTTAAATATCATGCGAATGTGCGCTTCAAGTGTGTAATACTTTAAACTGTCATGTGCGCGTCGTGTCGCGTCGTTTCTGGTGTGCGACCTGCTTTAGGCCCTGTTTACACGAATACGTCTTAGTATTAAAATGGCATTTTAGAACGAAAATGATCCACATCCACACCATGTTTTACCTAGCATTTATGAACAGCCCTCCGTTCGCTGAAAATGCACATCACGTGACCAAACACACACACAAACACGCACACACACACACACACACACAGCCTCAAACTGTCATGCACTCCTCTGAGCTCCAGAGAGAAGGGCATGTCGGACAGTTTATAAAGGATGTACTGCTGGACCGCGTCTCACTATAGTTGTTAAACGTGATATTTTGACATCCCAAGACTCCCAGAAGTTCCGGGAGTCTCTGCATTTGCGGGACTCATAATGCCCGTAAAAAAGTGAAAATCTCCTGGAAATCGCGCGTTCCGTCCCGATCCTCAAATAAGTCGCGCACCCTTCCCACCCCCGGATTCCTCCTCGCTCTTTAGACACATCACGCGCACTCTGTCAAACACATGATAATGATGCCATCGTCCATTGCGATGTTAGACATCATACTATGCCAAATTGGTCGACATTACCCAACCTTATATTAGATACACATCTTGTACAGAAGACTGTCTACTGTTCTTTACTTTGAGTATGCCAAAATAAAAACCTTGACCAATTCTGTGTTTGGTATATAACTGCAGTTGGGATACTCTTGTTTAAAACTCATTTGGTAACATTTGGTAATCTTTTTGGTGCTGGTGTTGCAGAATTTACATTTGACTTTGTCTTTTTCATACTAGACACTGAAACTGTTTCATATGTACTTCTATAAATCATCTTTCTAATATTCTTTTCATATTCACAGACACCTGAAGTCCTTATGCATACCAGCTGTGAAGGTGCACCATGAATTGTGAAGATCAGGGCATGGGGAGGGTAGTCCATTCCTGGGCCAGATTTGCCCCAGCTGGACACACTGCCCTTGAAGAGGCCCTAAGGGTCTTTAACCCCATGTCCAAGGACCTGACGGACACAGAGAGACAAATGGCGTCCTTTCTTCAAGAGCTAAGGAAAGAGGGAGCGAAACCTGTGATCCTGCGGAGCAAAGATGTGTACGGATACACATCTTGCACTACGGAGCCAATTTCCTCCAGGATTAGCACTACCAAGGTTCAGAGAGTGCAGAAACCTTGCAAGAAGCGTGGAGGACGCAAAGGTTTGGGCAAGTCCAAGGATGTAAATTACTCGATGCTTACTCGAGCAGAAAAGGACATTCTCCAAAACCAACCCAAGATCCTGCTTACCAATCTTTCGGTGGACCGCCTTAGGCGGAACACCGCATCGACAAGGCTAGATAAACATTCTGTTCAAGCACAGCAGTGCCTCAAGCTAACAAACATAAAGGGGTTGACTGGAGGCCACACTGCGAGGTTGCAGATTCACTTTGGTGCTGATTCACAAAGCAGTTTTGCTCTGGGACGACCACCGGATCTCTCCGGGATTCCACACTCTCCCACAGAAAACGGCAGTCAGATATCAAACGTAGTTGCCTTGGACAACAAACGAGTTTTGTCATGTCCGTTCAAAGTAGAAGATGCCCTCATTGGAGACTCTGCCCCAGTGGTCTGCCAAAATGGGTTCGGTCTTAAAGATGGTAGCATTTATAAAAAAATCCAAGCTGTGTCAGGTAAACCCGATGTGATGGCCAGTGGTCTGGACAATGGTTCAGTGAGGAGACTCCATTTCCCAAGCTTCAACTGGTCCCAGTCGGCACTCACCAACGGCCAAGATGTTTCTAGACTGAATGACAATGGTCTCGAGTGCAAGGTAATAAAAGTAGATGATTCAGTCACAGATGAGGAGTTGAGGAGGAAGGCACAGAAAATCTTGCAAGTGAACTTGTCGCCTGTGATACAGATTCATCCCCTTGTTGACTCTGTATAGACTGTTTCTGGGGATTCTGTTTTCGTTTTCTCTTAAGTTTTTTTTTGTTTGGGAGAGATTTTTGGAAACAAACTTAGGTTAACTCTGGATGGGAGCGTTGCAGTTACCTCCAAATTTTGCATTATCGTCAAGTAGTTACTGACATCATAATCCAAAGATGGGATGCTCTTTTGTTCCTGCTCTCACAGTATTTTGTTTCCCCAACACATCCCAACCTACCTTTTTATTTTATAAGTTGTGTCTTTTTATCTAACTTCTGAAGGATTGGACTGATGAACAAACCCTTATTTATGACTATGCAGTTCCCGGGATGCTCCTTTTGTTGGAATTCTATGGGCATGGACTGCTGTCTTACTGGATCATGGGAACAGACTGAATTTGTAGAGTGATTTATTACATGCTACTGCTTGAAAAGACAACGATAGCCTAACCTAAGTTGGTCTTTATGGTTTTTCTACGTCCTTGGATCCTGTTGATGTCAACGTCGCCCAAGTTTTTAGACATCATCAGTTTTGTAATATGTTAGTCTGCCGGCATAGACTGCATATGATATTTTTGTTTAGATTCTAACATGTTCAGATTGGGGGCACTTTTTTTTTGCATATTAATTTAATTTCAGGGCAAAAATAAATGGCCTTATACTTTAAGAGTGAAAAATAACTGAATCTTTGTACTTTTCCTCATCTCAATGTACTTGTTTCTGCACTCCGCTTCTCATTAATTCCTCTGTTTCTTTGAATGTGCCAACCCCGGTATTTGTTTCTTTAAAGTTTTGTTGGTGCCATGACCACAAGTCTTGCAAGAGTTCTCGTCATCCCGTCAAGCAGTGGACCTGTTTGTCCATTGGTTGAACGTACCTCAGACACTTGAATGGGAAAATGCTGTTGTCATTCATCCTGCAGTTAATTATGTATATTGTTCATTCCATACATCCAGGAGTTGATGGGTCATGTTTGATCATTTGAGGCCATCTTGGATTGTTTAACCTGAATCTGAATATGATCTCGATCCAGTTCTGAAGGTAGTATCAAATTGAAATGCATTCTTTACATCTTCACAATATCAAGTTTCTCTCGTCAGGATTAATTTGTTGAGGATGTTCATGATTCATGTGCATTGAGCGGTCTTTCTAGGGCACGACAGAATGAATATTTGGAGGAAGAGATCTGTGAGAATTAAGTTCGCATTTGAAATTCATAAGGCCTGTGGTTCTTTTGTTTCGTTTTTTCAGGCTAAAGTAGATGATGGCAGTGCAGCAGTTAATCGGTGCCACGAGGCAATTGTTAAACGAAATATTGTTAGAAATTTACGTTTTAAATCCTGTTAAAAGTCTTTCATCCACCCTCAAACGTCAAGCAGATTTTCTTTTCCTTTTGAATCATTCTTTATTTTCACCCCATTGAATCTGTGACACTCAAAAGCTGTAAATGTCAGTGTTGTATCTTTAGTTACTGTTATCAAGTTGTGAATTAAAATATGTTTGAGAAATGTTTGGTGTGGGTTTCTGGAGTTTCTGTGATGCCACTTGGAATATACAATGTATTGTTTATGATAAGAACACATCTGCAGGATTGGCATGGTTAAATCTTGGTCATGGGTAATGATCTTGAATGCTGTTGTAGAACATTTGTTAAAATGAATCGCAGAGCCACGTTCAAAGCAGCTTTCAACTGCAGAAAATGGAACAAATTATGTTTAATATTAATATGCCAAGTTGCTTGGCAACCATAAATGACTTGCTGTTTGGCTAATGAACTTGCCAGATGTTATTTGGCTGATGAATTGTGTATTGTGGTTACTACATGTTTAATTGTTTTTTAGAACAATGGTGTTCAGCCATATTAATGTTGTTGCCATTAAACTCATGGCGCAGTATTATGTAATATACTGCTGTGTGAGCAACCTAAGAGGAAATGAAGATTATTCATTTCTTGAATATTATTTACCGTGATTATCAAATGTTTTCCTTCACCTTAGATCTAATTATCTTCTTATTTCAATAGTTTTTCCCAGAGATGGGTTGCGGCTGGAAGGGCATCCGCTGCGTAAAAACTTGCTGGATAAGTTGGTGGTTCATTCCGCTGTGGCGACCCCGGATTAATAAAGGGAGTAAGCCGACAAGAAAATGAATGAATGAATTTCAATAGTTTTGACACCTTGAATATATCAGTGAGTAGACAAAAATGGCATTTGCTCAAGGACATTCTCTAGCATGAGAAACATTCAGAAAATCAACCCTCAAAGAGGATGCAGCATCCCTGTTAATTAACTGAGAAAATTTTTACATTTATGGGACCTCATTTATAAATCGTGCATTAAAATGATTCACAACTGATGAGAGACACTACATGTTTCCATCCTCCTGTTTTATGCTCATTTTGGAACAAAATGCTTCTTTGAAATGCTAAGATGTGCATAATGTTTTAAAAAATGCTCATAAGAAATATTTATGCGCACTGCTGAGTAGGATAAACGTTTTATTCGATAAGAAACATGTGCATAACCAACTATAGAAATATATTTAACTAATCTCAGCATGCGCATAAATGTTCTTAACAATTATGCAAAAATGGGCGCTATGAGACAGTAATATTGGACAAACTAGCGAACCGACCACATTACACAACATCTGAAATGTAGTTTTGGGGTCCGTTCTTTGTACCTCGCTTAAATGATCTAAGATTATTTGGCAGATCCTGGATCTTTTAATCTTGATAACTGATCTCTCGCTAATTTGGTTCTTCAAACAAGTTCGCGAATCAGATTAGAATGTCTGGATGAACTGATCTGAGATCGATGCGTGTGTTATGAAGGACAGATCTATCGATCCTCGAAATTATGATCAGCAATGCAACGATTGGCTGACGGCATAGCAGCGTAATGACATCATCTGATTAATATTCAATTATCCATGTGAGCAAAATTACATCAAATTAGCAGTAAATGGTTTGTTAAATATGAAACGCAAGAATTTTCCACATTTGTTGTGAGCTGCAGGCTTTACACTTTCATTTTTCAAGACAACAGTATTCATCATGTATTTCAATGCAAATCAATGTATTTAGTTCTACATTTAGAAAATATTTTCTTTATTATAGTCACCGTTTTTTAATCGGTGTATAAAGAATAACTGGTTGTTTACAAAAGCATTTTGATATTGGTAAAGGTGTCTGCAACTTTTGTGAAGCATCAAATTACTGGCATATTAACTATCAAAACATGTTTATGACTGCATAAATGTATTATTGCTTTAAAAAAAGTCACATATTGTGCATTTCTATTATAAACAATTTGTTCTAAAGCGATCTAAAAAGTTCATTTCAATAAGTTTTCTCTTTGCACCACCAGATGGCAGTCTTTGTACTTTCATTTCGAGGGTGCAGATTGCATACGTTTTATTAATATGTATAACTTTATTTTATTAATGACTATAACTTTATATATATATATTTAAAAATTATGTATTATTTTCCCAAGTGTATATAACTACTACTGTAAGAAAATATCAGAATTCGGAACATACTTTCTGTATTATCTTTGCTTGAACTAAGCTGATCTAATCCTGTTTATATGAACTGAACCTGCTCCCGATCAGGTTTGACCTAGCAGAACTGTTGCCATGACAACAACTCTCGGATCAGCTTTGAAGAACGAAACGATCCTGGATCATGTCAAATCGTCAATATCCAAATCCAGCTAACTGAGTAATCCACGTACGAAGAACGGACCCCTGGTCAGTCTAAAATCCCTCAGCCAAAGTCTATCATCAAAGCAGTTAAGTACTGTTTCCTCGAGAAATACCTTGAGCGTCTGTGATCCCAAAGAGGGACTCACGCCTCTAAAAGCCACTGTGCATTCATCGGCTGCTCCTACCACAGCGAATTGCGTTTTTTTTTTTTTATATATATATTTACTGCCAGTGGTTTAGGAAGTGACGATTTGTGCTCTTTGACTCATTCACTGTAGAAAACGCTGGGTTCCACACAATCAATTTGTGTTAGGACAACATGAAGAGAAATCAAGTTAACTTATCAGTTTTTAAAAATGTAAGTGGATTGAACATAAAACAATTCAGCTGTAAAAAAAATTTAAGATTTGTGTTGTTTCAGCTCATTTGAAATAAGTAGCTTGAACAAACAGCAAGGGTCATTATTTTGAGTATTGGATGAAAAGTTTTTGAAAATTATTTATGGCCCGTTTCCACTGAGTGGTACGGTTTGGTATGCTTTTATGGCCATTTCCACTGTCAAAAGGCATACCGTACTGTACAACTTTTTCGGCACCTTTTTGAAAGGGTACTAAACACCAAAAGGCAAAGCTATACGCACAGCTGACGTCGACTAAAACTTTTTGTCTTTTTGACACCATGCCCACCAAAAGAGTACCCTTGGTAGTGGAAATGCAAGCCTGATAAAGGTGACCCATACAGACCCCAACCGTACCGTACTGTACCAGTCAGTGGAAATGAGCCATCGGAAACGCGTATACGTCTAATTTACATATTTGGATGAAAAAATATCTGACATTCTTGCAACTCATCATTTTCAAATGAAGGATTTGCATGTTGATTAGTGCTCCTATACAAGCCAAATAGGTTATTAACCTGTTTAATAATCTACTCGCTTTTAACGTATTTGTGAGAAGCATTTTGGCTGTGCACAATTTCAAGACTATGGGTTATGTAGATCTCACAATCCGCTTGTTAAGTGTGACGTCACGCGGTACGGCTTCCGGGTCCAAGCGCTCTATTCAACTGAATGGGGAGACTCATGAAATGGTAATAATAAACGTTTACAAAGTGATTTAATACTTTCGAAAGTCACGATCGCAATATATATGTCCGTGCCTAATATCCGATGGCCAGAAAGTAATTCATTGTTTTATAAATTGTTAAAATTTTGGTGTTTGTTATGCAGCAAGCCCAGAGCTTGTTGTGTACACTATGACTTTATATAAAATTAACTTTAATGTGCGATATGAATAAAAAGTGATCATAAACGAACGATTTCTCCACTCAAGTGAATGAGGACCCTGAAACAGTATTACATACGTCACAAACACGTCATCATGTCGATACATACCTCGATACATACCTGATCTTGTATCCTTCCTAATGCTCTTTGACCAGGCGGGAACCTTAGGCTCATCTATCTCAGAGTTCTCTTCCGGGACAGCATGCCGAACCTGCTATCATAGTCGAGCGTTATCTAAGTGTGATCTCTTGAAACTAATTTCGAGAGGTGCATGTGATTTGATTGAATGTGGCTGGTCCCTCATCTGCAGTCATCGATAAACCAACCAGATTAATCGAAGACTATAGTAGCACATTTCACTTTATCTTCATTGTATATGAGACTTTTTCTTTTTTACCAGGGGGAGCTCTTGAGACCTACCTGATCTCAGACACTCTTTCATTCTTTATGACCTGGAGGGAGTCCTGGGCTTGATTATCTCCAAGTTCAAGGTTCTCTCCTGGGACTGCATGCCAACCCTGCAATTAGTATCAAGCAATATCTAAATGTAAACTCTTGAAATCATGTCAATGGAGAGCTTATTTATTCAGCTCAATAAATCTCAATCTTTAGAAATCTCAAAAATATTTAGCCATTTCTTTGCATTCTGGGGTCTCGTATAGAACAGAAGAGCGTTTTAGTAACTCAAACTGTTAATTTTTCGTTTACCATTAGGCTAATTCCAGCCAGTATGCGGCATCTTTCAACAAAGGCTTTCTCGTGTTGCTATTATGAATTTGGTAAGATATAATTGGCCTGCGCAGCATTTTAACCATCTGTCATGGAGGACTGCAATTTCCAAAGTTGCCATAGGCCTCTTGTTGGCCTCCATTTTCTCTGGCTTTTCTGGTCTGAGCATGTGAATTTGGAGAAACGCCAGTCTCGGCAGATTAAAATAAAGCTGCATAAAGCAATAATTGCGGTGCACTGCACTCCATATTTTGTTGGATTTCTTTTCTTAGAATTAGTTGCTACCTTAAACACTGTGGCAAATTGAGTTTGGTGAAAGGGAAAGTGATGATAACGCTGGGGAATATGTGTAATTAGAAACTGTGGATGGAACACGATAACACCTTTGGATAGATTTTTTTTTCAGTCAAGAGAGTTAAAATGTTTCTCTGAATTTTGTGTCAGCCATAGTTAATCTTTTTTAAATGTGACTCTTTACTTAATATTTGAATAATTTTTGGAGTTTGAAAAACACATTTTGAACACTAGTTTTGTGGTCCAGGATAACATAATATATCTACCGACATCAAATTTGGTTGTTGGGATTTATAGTCTCAATGTTGCATGCAGCAATTCAAGTTGGATGGACTTGATTCATCATAGATCCAATTTTTTCAAGAAGCCTTACAGTGATTTGCTGGGGTCCGTTCTTCGTACCTCGCTTAAATGATCTAAGATGATTTGGCAGATCCTGGATCTTTTAATCTTGATAACTGATCTCTCGCTAATTTGGTTCTTCAAACTAG